TATATATATATATATATATAGAGAGAGAGAGAGAGAGAGAGAGAGAAAACTGTATGTGAGCTGCCAGCTCACGAAGTTTGTGCGCTGCAGGGGGTTAATTGAAAAAGTCACCATCTTCGTAAATTGGGTTCTCGTGACCGATCATTTCATTTAACCCAGCTCACACGAGATCCTGCCCCAAATCTCTCTCCCCAGATCCGAACTCCGACCCCAAATCTCGTCCCCAGTTCCTCTCCGCCGACCTCAGATCTCGTCCCCAGTTCCTCAGTTCGGCGCCGACCTCAGATCTCGTCCCCAGTTCCGAACTCCGACGCCCCAAATCTCGTCCCCAGATCCGAACTCCGACGCCCCAAATCTCGTCCCCAGTTCCATAGATCTCCGTCGACCTCAGATCTCGTCCCCAGTTCCGAACTCCGACGCCCCAAATCTCGTCCCCAGTTCCTCAGATCTCCGCCGACCTCAGATCTCCGCCGACTTCGAGAACCCACATCGAATCTGAGACCGACGCCGACTTCAAGAACCGACCACCGACCCCCGCCATTTGAAGGTGTTCTCAGGTGAAATCTGCCATTTTGTTAAACCGTGCTCATATTTTTACCTCCAAAATGTTTATATTACAGTCATAGGTATGAAAAAAATGAAATGAGAATAAAAACTAGGTATGAAAAAAAATGAAAGAACTAGGTTTTGCATTTTAACTAGGTTTCTGCTGCCTCTCCATGAATCCTCCTGTGATTTGAAGCTTCTGAGAAGATAAAAGGAGATTCAAAGGTAAATCTAGTTATAATGCTTCTCTTCCTAAAAGTTGGTATCAACAGAAAAATTACACGAGTTAAATTGAAGAGTTAAATAAGTACTTTATTAATTCTCTGGATTGCGATGAATTTCTACCTAGAAATGCTTCTGAAGAGAGATGCACTTCTTCCATTCTGAAGAGAGATGCACTGCTTCCATTCAAGTTTGGCATTTACATTTACAATCCTTAACATGACAGATATTTTGAAAATTCTTCTAATAACTATGCACACCTTATTGTTACTCTATGTAAATTATTAATGTAAACTGTGATTTTTACAATTTGTGATTGTGCGAGTGAAAGAGAAGTTAATTGAATCTGCCACTACAACAAAGAAATTAAGAGAGTTTTTTCTTGTGATTTCTTTTTAAACCACAATTTTTTAGGTGGTCCATGGCAAGAAAGAGTTTTTACATTGTGAAGAGAGGTCGACGATGTGGAATTTTTAATAATTGGGAGGACTGTAAAAAGCAAGTTGATAAATTCCCAAATGCCGCATATAAAGGATATGCAACGTACGAAGAGGCTTTGGTTGAATGGGATAAGCACAGCATCGCTTGTGATTCAGCATCCAACTCAAGGCATGTCCAAACTCCTTTTTATGTCCCGACACCTGATTCTGCATCGAGCTCAAGAACTACTATTTCCCCTAACTATGCTTTTGCATTAGGTTCAGTGTTTACAATATTAGTGTTTGTAGTATGTATCGTTGTCGTATTTATTTTTTTCTATATTGCAAAAATTATGTGAGCTTGAGAACTTATGTATCGAGTAACTTATGTGATTGTGAGATTGTGAGAACTTATGTATCTTGTGAAAACTTATGTGATTGTGAGAACTTATGTATCTGGTGTGATTGTGAGAACTTATGTATCTTGTAAGTACTTATTGTGTATTTGGTGTTATTGAGTTGTTGTTATGCATAGGTTAGTGGAAATGAATAATGAATATGCCCTTATTTAGGGAATAGATGATTGATGCTATGGTGATTGGATTTTCAGTGTTCACAGATGAGCGTTAAGGGTGAGCACTTGGTCCAGTCAAAGACACTCTGACGCACAAATAAGTTCATTGAAGGCAGAGATCTCAATTGAAAGACTTGATAGTAGCGTAGAAAATTAGGTGATAAAAATTTCATATCTACAATTTTAGAGAACACCTTATGCGAGTACAGCCGCACTACCCATTCAAAAAACGAACCAACCCCCAGCCTCGAACTCAAGCTCTCCCCACCCCCAACCCCTCAATATAAACGTTGGAGGCCTAATATGCTCTTAGTTTATGGCATGTTTTGGTTGTGTATAGCTTGTCGCTGGCCTATTGCGCTACGGTCAAACACACCAACATGGGCATTAAGCCATCATACGTACTATTACCCATCAACAAAACAAAATTCTGAGGAACTGTTACCCATCAACAAACCAGTCATTCATTCAGATCAACATCAGTGACATTGGCTATAAATAATAAAAAGAAAAGGAAAAGATACCGCCAAATTATTTGGCTATAAACCAGTCATTCATTCAGATCATACGTACTGTTACCCATCAACAAAACAGAATCAGTCTTAACATAATCAGTCTTAATACATAAAATGTAGTAATACATTAGCAGCTACAAGACAGAGGTCTTGTACAAAATGCGCATCACTTGAATCAGTTCTGCTCGTGGAGTTGCTTGAGGGGCCAAGGCAGAGTTGTGGATGAACCTGAGCTTATTGTGCTTGTTCCTGTGTTAGTGGTAGCGCTGTAAGAGAAACACATGCACAATCAAATAAATCGTTTGTTAAAAGTTAAAAACAGAGTAAATAAAGCGCTGTTAAAGTTTGATACACAAAAATGCAAGCAATCATGCGTACGTTAATAATGAGATATGCCTTTGTGAACAAACCAATACATCCACCACCCGTGCATATGTTTACCTGCAAATTATATGACAAATTAATCATGAGATATGACTTTGTGCTATCAAGTTTCATAAACTTATATAGGGCTAAAACTGAATATCAACGAAAATGGTACCTTTGCAAGTTAACTTTACAGCTAGTTCTATAATGCCCGAGTTCACCACATCTGCTACATATGCGTTTCTTCCTTTCTTTCTTTTCTTGTGCCTGTTCTAAGCCTGACTGGATTCTAGTAGCATTGCGTGGACGACCTTTAGTCCTTGCAGGTCTATCAGGATCACGAACTGTTATCTGAGGAATGTTCTCTATTGTATGTGAAATGGGTGCGGAAGATTGAGGAATATCCATAATTTGATCTTGAGTTTCTCCAAATTCTTCTTCAAGTGATTCCATGAAATTTGTTAGCACATCATCAAGTTGTTGCAGCTTCTCTTCTGAATCAAATGCAAGCTCGAGCACATTATTGAATTTTGCTCTTAAAGCCCAAGATTTCAATAAATTAATCTTCTCTTCACAGCTGGTGATGTTTCTTCCAAATACGATGTTGCCAACCCCAATGTTACGATGCCTTGCATGTATGGTCCAACGGTGTAGGATGTAGTGGTCGAGTAATGAATCCATTTGCCTAGCCATCATTAGCGATAATATATGTCTACATACAACACCATTAGTTTCAAACAAAGCACAAGTGCAACAGAACTGCATCTGACTGGATTGTTCATAAGTAACCACCTCCCATTTTCCTCTATCTGTAAACTTACAGACCTTGTATTCAACAATGTCCCCATCTTTTCTCAATTCTTCACAGAACTCTGTACCAAATCCTTTGAATTCGGTATGGAACACATCAAACATATTGCGTGTATACATTTCTCCAGCTTGGATCTCAATTGGATGTCCAAGGAGCATAACCGGCTTTGTGTTCAGACTCTTAAAATCTTCATGAGCTTCACTTAAGCGACGATGAGTTACTGCTTTTTCATATTGTGTCACAAACTCGTGTAACTGAGTCTGTGAGTTAACATACCCATCAAAAAATGCATTAATACTTTCACTCCTTTGGTTCGATCTCATTCCAGCAAAAAAAGTGTCCTTCAGATAACACGGCACCCAATGTTCTCTGCATTTGTAAACTGTTTGCAACCATCCCTCCCCTTCTTCATTTATATCAAACTTCTCTTTCATCTCAACCCAATATCCTTCACATTGTTCAATTGAAGAACTATTGCACCACAAGCCCCAATACCTTTGAAACTGTTCACCATAACGAGATACCAAAGTAGGCAAATGATCAATAATATGCTTTTGCATGTGCCAATAGCAATAACGATGTCTTGTCGTTGGAAACACTGAGTGAATAGCATTACACATTGCTCTATCCTGATCTGTTATAATAGCACCTGGTTCAATGCCGTGCATGCATTTCAGCCATTCTTCAAATAACCAAACAAAGGTATCTTCCTGTTCATCGGCTAATAATGCACAACCAAGTAAAGTGGACTGCCTATGGTGATTTACACCAGTAAATGGAGCAAATGGAAGACCGAACTTATTAGTTCTGTATGTCACATCAAACACAATAACATCACTGAATTGCAAATAAGATGCTCTTGATCTTCCGTCTGCCCAGAATACACTCCTCATTTGTCCACTACTGTCTACTTCTATTGCAAAATAAAATTCTGGATCATTCGATGTCATACTCTGAAAATGTCGAATTATATATATGCATTCATGACCAATATTGTTGACTCTTTGGGTTCTGATATGATCAATGCACTGTTGTGATGTCACAAATTCACCGTCTTGACCATTGGTTGCATTGATAACGCGAGAAATAGTGGAATGAGGCATACCTTCTTCTCGCAGACTATCAATAAGTTTTTTACATCTTTGGGTTTTATGGAATTGTTGATGTGATCTGTGCATTTTTGCTTTGTCTGGACTACTCAACACATGATTTGTATGTTCTTCAACAAACCCCGTGACCTCCCACGATTTGTCCTCCAATAATTTAACTCGCATCATTGCCTTACATCCCACTCGGGTCTCTCGCCGAAGAGGGATCTCTATCTTGCCACTATTAGGTTTATAGCCCTCCTTATCACAAACAAACTTTCTGTCTACCACTTCTCTAGTCTTGCGAGAGTAATTCACAGTGCTCTTCCTTATTCCAAAACCCATCAACAATGCATAAGAGTTATAATAGTTATAAGCTTCTTCATGACTATTAAACTTCATTCCTAGTAGTGGTTTAGGAGCATTTATAGTATTGGCCGCAGTTTCACTTCCAATAACACTTGATTCTCCAATTCCGAACTCTACACTATTTGAATTTGTTTCCTCCATTCCACACTCCTAAAGAAAAAAATAAATTCAAGAAAAACAAACTTAGTATTTTTGTCATTTCCTTTTTTTTTGTTTTCAGCTGGTTATTAAAACCTCTAATTTAGCTCAAGTCATGAAAACAGTGCTTATCAGTTTTTATTCTCATTTCAATATTTTTTCATACCTATGACTGTAATATAATCATTTTGGAGGTAAAAATATGCTAAATTAGCAAAAATTGGCAATCAAAGAACCTGGATAATGTTAATCTACCCTAGTTTAATTTTAATATGAGATCAAAATCCAAACTGGGTTCAGGTTCAAAAAAAAATCCTAACTGGGTACCTCATGTGGGTAAAAATATGCCCTAGTTTATCTCGATGTGGGTAAAAATATGCTAAATATGGAGAAAATTGGCAATCAAAGAACCTGGATAATGTTAATCTACCCTAGTTTAATTTTAACAAAATGAGATCAAAATCCAAACTTTTTCATACCTATGACTGCTTATATAATCATTTTGTAGGTAAAAAAAAGCTAAATTAGCCAAAATCGGCAATCAAAGAATCTGGATGCGGATTTCACCTGAGAACACCTTCAAATGGCGGGGGTCGGTGGTCGGTTCTTGAAGTCGGCTGCAGGTAGGCGGAGAGATGAGGTACCCAGCTCGGCGTCGGTCTCAGATTCGATGTGGGTTCTCGAAGTCGGCGGAGATCTGAGGTCGGCGGAGATCTGAGGAACTGGGGACGAGATTTGGGGCGTCGGAGTTCGGAACTGGGGACGAGATCTGAGGTCGACGGAGATCTATGGAACTGGGGACGAGATTTGGGGCGTCGGAGTTCGGATCTGGGGACGAGATTTGGGGCGTCGGAGTTCGGAACTGGGGACGAGATCTGAGGTCGGCGGAGATCTATGGAACTGGGGACGAGATTTGGGGCGTCGGAGTTCGGATCTGGGGACGAGATTTGGGGCGTCGGAGTTCGGAACTGGGGACGAGATCTGAGGTCGGCGCCGAACTGAGGAACTGGGGACGAGATCTGAGGTCGGCGGAGAGGAACTGGGGACGAGATTTGGGGTCGGAGTTCGGATCTGGGGAGAGAGATTTGGGGCAGGATCTCGTGTGAGATGGGTTAAATGAAATGATCGGTCACGAGAACCCAATTTACGAAGATGGTGACTTTTTCAATTAACCCCCTGCAGCGCACAAACTTCGTGAGCTGGCAGCTCACATACAGTTTTCTCTCTCTCTCTCTCTCTCTCTCTCTATATATATATATATATATATATATATATATATATATATATATATATATATATATATATATATATATATATATATATATATATATATATATATATATATATATATATATATATATATATATATATATATATATATATATATATATATATATATATATATATATATATATATATATATATATA